GGAAAGAAAATTTCTTCAAAAGACATTAAGCCTATTACTAGATTCTTTGTCTACCAATGTCTCTTTTGTTAGTCAGAAACAGAATTTCTAGGTGCTCCTGGATCTAAGTTGAAGGGTTTGCTCAACATTTGGTTTCCCAGATATTTGCCAGAAACGGCTGAAAAAAAGATGAACAGGCATATCTCCATTCCAGAAACAAGTCAGCCTGTCTATCAGTATCCTCCCCACCTTTTCCCCCTTCTTCCGTCTGATAAAACACATTTTTCAAAATGGGAAGGTGGGGGCTAGAGAAGTACAGGGTGCAGAGCTGGTACCGCCCCTGACCTAATGCCTCACCTGTCTTGCTCGGGCCCTCCTCCTCCTCCCCTTTCCTTGGCTCCCCAGGCCTTTAGGCTCTTCTTACAAGGTCATCAACTCTGATTGGCTATCGCATTCAACTGCTGTATATCAGTACTCAGCCTAGAAATTCTCAAAGCAGAGACTTGGGTGACTTAGAGCTTATACACGTTTTGGGCTTATATACCCAGCTAGTTCCTTACTTAGACACTTGACAACTGAAACTGTTCAAATAATACCATTTAAGGTTGATTTTTTTTATTGTGGTAAAATATATATAACATAAAAATCACCATGTTAACCATTTTTCAGTGAACAGTTCAGTGGTTATTCACACTATTGTGCAACCATTACCACTGTCCATGTCTAGAACTTTCTTATCATTCTAAATTGAAACTCTGTATCTCATTAAGCAATGTCTCTCCACCCCTCAACCGCTGGCAACCACCATTCTACTTTCTGTCTCTGTGTATTCGACTATTCTAGAATACCACTCTTTCTTATCTCTCAGTTTTCCTACAAAAGGCTTAAAATTCCTGGCAAATTTTCCAAGTGACCTTTTTAATAACCAGGTAAACTACGATGCGGGTAAACATAAATGAAATTCTAACTTTTAAAATAACTTTCTGTTAAAGAAGTTGTTACCTCTTAATTACCGCCGTAATTTAAGAGTGTGGCTTCTGCAGTAAAAAAGTGCTCCAACGTTTATATTTACCAATACTCATGGGGCCACACCCTGCACCTTATTGTATGTAAACTATACCTCAAAAAATTGTTAAAAGTAATCACAGTAAAGCCCAGTGTATTTCCCCTCAGGCCTTGTGGTGCTTCCCTCACATTAACTCCAAAGATCCAAACGCCACCTTTAGGGCAAGGAGAAAAGCAAGGCTGGGACAACCCGACGAACCTTCACTAAAGGCTGTGCTACTCACTTCATCAGCTTCTGCTTTGTGGCAGAATCTCTGAAGCTTCTGAACTCTTCGCCTGCTTTGATCTCATAAAACTGGGGCTTGAGGACTGTCTGCCGGTCCTCCCTGAGCCGTTCCTGCCGCTTCACTTTTTCCTCCTGTTGGAGAAGTCGGCGCTGTTTCCTGACCTCTGCAACCCAGTCTTTTTCATCATCCGAACTCTCAGAACTTTCTGCATCACTTGGTTTTCCTTCCGGTTCTTCCTCCTCTTCCTGAAAATAAAAATAGTAAGAAGCAGCTCCTCTCCCCCAACCAAAAACACTGACCCACTATTTTCTTTTAAATAGCATTAGCCCATCAGAGTACGTGACACTGCATGCATCGGAAAAAACATCTTTAATTAAGTAAGATATATTCCTAAGCTGAAGGTCAAACAAATTACAGCTCACGTTTGTTCAAAGACTCTTTCAACTTACACAGAGAACTTTATTTTAAACAAACAGGAGCAAATTCTAAATGATAAAGAGTACATTACTTCTTCATGAAGTTCCTGTTGCTCTAAGAGTCTTAGTTTCTTCTTCCTTTTTTCACTAATTTTGGAAACAAGTGGATTCAAAAGCCTAAATTCTTCACTCTCTTCGTCTACTTGGAAGTCAGGGTTCTCAAACATAACTTTAAATCGATCATCAGTGAGAATATTAGGAAGGCTCTATAAGAAAAAGAATGTCAAAATTTAAAGTTAATACTGGAATAAAATCTGACCAGAAAGATGGCTTAAAAACATTTTACTCAATAATAAATTAATAAGCTACATAAAGCACAACTTATTCAATTATTGTGAAATTTTTAGAAGAATCAGTTTCCAAAACTTTCTAATTGCTTATCTCTTACCCACAATCAAATTCTATTCACCTATTTCACAGAAAATATGTATTAGTTGGCCGTTGCACACAATGAGCTAAGACTGAGTCTTTTGGCCTAACTTTATGCTTAATACATTAGAAAGAATTTTCTTCAATTAACATTTTTTGATGCAAAAACATTTTTCAAGAAAATACATGTTTTTGACACATGGCTTTTTAAGGATAGCTACTATACTGAATGAAAATTAGTGAGACTTTCAACTTCATATTCTAAAACTGGGAGAGGAAGTTGCATCAATCATAAGTCAAGAATTAACAAGGTGGGGAGCTGGTGGTGTAAGTTTACTGACTCTGAGTTATTCGGAAACCTAAGGGGTATTTCCTTCCCTCATAAGACAGCCTCATCGATCTTTTTCTCCAAGGCTATTTAATTGTTCTCAAAGGATACAATGTGAGACTCTACGATTTTGACATAATAAAACTTTACTATTGAGACCCATTTGGGATAGCTCAGGACTTGACACTGCATTCCCTTTTATTTATATACCACTCTGAACAGAAACATTTTCTAGAATGTACTGTAAATTTATCTGTTCACTTAAACAGATGATAATCTTATACACTCAGGGCTCTCCTATTTGTTCCTTATCTGCAATAGGCTTGGAAACAAGATAAATTAACCTACTTAACATGGTTTGTAAAGTAAACAGCCTAAGCACAGGCTGCAAAAAATGAACCTGTTTGTGGTAAACTATGGCTCTACTTAACAGACTTTATTTTACTGGCTGCTTCTCCACTATTGGGAGTAAATAAGGTTGTAAGTAGTTGAGCTCAGAATGTTGTATAACTGAGCTACACAAAAAATTGGTAAACCATGAGACATTAAGGAACTTGGGCTGTTTATTACCTGTATGAGCCTAAAATCTGACAAATCCTTACTAAAATTCTGTGATATACTGAACATATATTTGAGATATATCGAAGTCTTCCCTAAGTATCATTTCCAAGACAGATTTAGGTTCAAGGAAGAAACAAAGATAGGTAAGTTCTAGTTCCTGATCCCAAGGCATTCGCAACCTAATGAGCAAAAAACAAACAAACCTCTATGCTACAAGGCACCTTAAAAAGGATGCTAAACAGAGTTGAAAAGTGCTCTAGGAGCAGAGAGGTAAAAAGTAATTCCAACGAGGTACACTTCAGAAGGGTTCACAGGGGATATGCATCGGGGAGGAAGCTTAAAAGATGGGTAGTTTTCAACAGATAGAAATTTGGGAAGAACATTTCCAGACCACTGAGGAGTGGTGAACAGTCTGATAATATAAGGATAATGGCAAAATTTGAAAAAGCAATTTTTTTTTTTTTTTTTTTTTTTTTGCGGTATGTGGGCCTCTCACTGTTGTGGCCTCTCCTATTGCGGACCACAGACTCCGGACGCGCAGGCTCAGCGGCCATGGCTCACGGGCCCAAGCCCTGAAAAAGCAATTCTTGATCAGGCCAGATTGTAAAGGATTTTAAATACCGTGACATTATTCTGCAGGTAAGGGGAAACTATTAGGGAAGAAGAGGATAAGGAGGAAAGATCCAGAGGGAAGAGCGCGTCAAGAATCTCAGATGACAGGGCTTCCCTGGTGACGCAGTGGTTAAGAATCCGCCTGTCAATGCAGGGGACACGGGTTCGAGCCCTGGTCTGGGAAGGTCCCAAATGCCGCGGAGCAACTAAGCCCGTGCGCCACAACTACCGAGCCTGTGCTCTAGAGCCCACGAGCCACAACTACTGAGCCCGTGCACCACAACTACTGAAGCCCGTGTGCCTAGAGCCCGTGCTCCACAACAAGAGAAGCTATCGCAATGAGAAGCCCCTGCACCGCAACAAAGAGCAGCCCCGCTCGTCACAACTAGAGAAAGCCCGCACGCAGCAACAAAGACCAAACGCAGCCCAAAATGATAAATAAATAAAATAAATAAATTAAAAAAAAAAAAAGAATCTCAGATGACAAAAAGAAGCCTGCTTTGCAATTCCGCAGCGGCGTGCTACACAATGGGCTACTGAGGGAGAAACCAGAGTCATGAGGAAGACGAAGAGGCCTCTTGAGGAAACTGGGAAAAGAGACAGGGCCTGAATTAGGGCAACTGGAATCTAAGGGTGTTTTAGGAAAGGATGATAGTGAGATACACTTCTAAGTTCGAATTGACAGATACAGCTACAGATGAGATGGGAGGAGGAAGACTGAAAAAGAGGGTTAAAATTTTTTCTCAAGGGTCTAGCTTAAGTCACTAGAAAGCTGGTGATACGGTAAGTCAGGATCCATCACTGGAGATGATCAGAGAAAGAGGCACAGGATGGAATAAAGGACAAGAAATTATGTACCAAGACATCCCCTAGTAGCTAAATAGTAAGTACACTGTGGTACATTCAAACAACTGAGTATGATTTAGCGCTGAAAAGAAATAAGGTTTTCAGCCACAAAAAGACATGGAGGGACCCTAAATGCATATTACTAAGCAGAAAGAAGCCAATATGAAAAGGCTACAATCCCAACTATATGACACTGTAGAAAAGGTAAAACAATGGAGACGGTAAAGAGATGAGTGGTTGTCAGGGCTCAGGAGGAAAGGGTGAATAGGTGGAGCACAGAGGATTCGAGGGGATGTGAAAACATTCCGATGTTCTAATAGTGGATACATGTCATTATACATTTGTCCAAAACCGTGGAATGAACAACCCCAAGAGTAAATCCTAATGTAAACTGTGGGCTTCGGGTGATTATGATGTATCAATGTAGGTCCATCGATTTTAACAAATGTTCCCTCTGGTGGGAGATATTAATGGGGGGAGGGGGGATTACGCATGTGTCGGGGCAGGGGTATATGGGAAATCTCTGTACCCTCCTCTTGATTTTGCTGTGAACGTAAAACTGTTCTAAAGTAAAAATTGTCTTAAAAAAATCCAGTGCATGAGAAAAGTTAAACAAAGAAATTATATTCCATATGTATATGTATAACTGATTCACTTTGTTATAAAGCAGAAACTAACACAACATTGTAAAGCAATTATACTCCAATAAAGATGTTAAAAAAATAAATAAAAAATAAAGTCCAATTGTTTAAAGATCAAAAAAAAGAAATTATGTTCCATTTAAGACTGGTTAACTCAGTCTATGGCTCAAGGAGAACATCATCTGGATTCTGACAGACACCATTAGGTGCCTAAAATCAAGGCACCAGGACTCAGGAGAGAAGTGGGGGATAATCTGGATAAATTTTAGAGTTACCTGTAAACACAGGATACATAATACTGCCAAAGACCACATGAGTAGCTATTGGCCTGTTATACATTTTCAGGTTTCATGTATACATATATAAATCCCAAGGGAAATCTTTTCTTTTTCATCTTACTGTATTATTAAATAATCACATTTAACAAATAACTGAGAAATGTGTTAAAAAAGGATATGTTGGCTAGTATTCTTTTCTCCCTTAATTTAAAACAAATAAGTTGCATTGCCCAAAGACAAGTATGCCTTAGAAGAACAAATATAAAATACAAACTCTTCTAACCCAGCTGTAAAAATATTTCCATCAGAGTTTCCTAGTCTGTTTGTTTTCACAGCTGTCTTAAAAAAAAAAAAAGAAGGAGGATGAGATGTAGTTAGTGATGTTCTATAGTAGTTCACGAGCGTCTGGCTAGCGATCTGCCCTATAAATATACATGTACATATGCCAAACACTTGCCACTGGAATTTAGGAAACATCTTAAAGTATTGTTCATACCACAGCCCTGCCTCAAAAAAGTATATTATGTGTAGATATGAGTAGCATGCTTATTATCAATATTTTGTCCCAACACAGTGACATATATGAGAAATACTTAACATTTAAAACAGATTAATTCTTTCAATGCTATGATATCTATGAAATTAAGGTGATGCAGACTTCTGAGTAAAGACGGTGGTTTGAACATGAGCATCTTCTAATCTCTGCTAAAACCCCACTAACACAATAGAAAAGGGGCTTTAAAAAGACACAAATCCTTAAGGATGAGAAGGATAGGAAAGGAAACAGGAGCGATGAGGTTGCAGAAGCAAGAAAGGAAGGTCTAGCACCCGTGGTCTCCAACTGGAGGGAGGCTTCTCTGGAGGGGAGGACGTGGCCAGCTGGGGCCACAGCATGGGGAGGCAAGGGGAGCACCTGGCACCAAGGGGGTGCAGGCGAGGGGCTGAGGTGCCACCCACCCCGACACCCCAAGCCCTCCTGATGGTAGCTCTCCAGTCCTCAGGACGTTGGTAGCCAGGCCACCACCCTCCAATCAGGAGACTCAGAGCGGCGGAGAGAAAGGCTGAAAGATGCTGCCACTTGGCGCTTCCCCAAATAAACAGTTTGGCCAGGTCAGCACACAGGACTGATGAGCCATCTCCACCTCAGAGCCTCCCGTCAGCTTTTCAAATCTTTCACTCTTTAATTTGAACAAATGACCATGAATCACAGCAGGGAAAGACTACTTAAAATTTTTTTTAAGAAAATTTCCCAGTACTGTAGAACCTAAGTTCCTGGATTGAAAGAATAAAGCTGAAAGAATAAATGAATTAATTCTTAATTAGAATTAATACCACCAAATTAATTAATACCAAATTTCTAATACCAAATACCACCAATTAATACTACCAAATTTCTAAGTTTGGATAAGGTCCAGATAATGTTTCACGACTTTATGCAGTGGGTCATTTGCCATTGCAACTGAAAGGTAAACATCTTATTAGACTTTAATTACGTTATCAGTGATAGTGATATCTGGGAACATATTTCACCGTCGGTCTCCATGAAATTTCAGCTGGAGCCAAAGCAGAACATAACCGCACCATACTGACTTTCAAATCACAAGTTATCAGAGCTATTAAAGCTCCTGAGGGTTTAAAGAGCTGAATTCAAAGACAAGACTAATGGACTGCTGATGGATTTAACAATTCCTTCAAGTATTCTTCACAATTATAATGAAGAAGTCTTTCCTTAATTCACGAATGGTTTTTAACGTCTTTTTTGGGGGGGCGGGGTGGGGGAAACCACACCACGCAGCCTGTGGGATCTTAGTTCCCCGACCAGGGGTCGAACCCAGGCCCTGGCAGTGAGAGCGAAGTCCTAACCACTGGACCGCCAGGGAATTCCCCAGGTCATTTTAATTAGATAAAACTGTTAAACAAATCATACAAACTGTCTAATAACAGATTCAGATTTTTAGATGACTATATTTAAGTATTTCTGGAAAGAAACTGAGCTCTGGTAATAGAGCCTGACTTGGGTCAGCAAGCCACTAAGAGCAGATGAGCACACTGTACAAAGACCGGTCTCTGGCAGGGTTCTACAGTTCACACAGCTACAGACACCGTGCTTCCAGCTTCCAACAGCTGAAGGGAAACTGCTTGATGGAAGAAGATAAGAATTTCCAAGGTTCTTCCTCTTTGCACTTGCAGTAGAAATAGCACACAGTCTGATGATTCTTTATAGGATAACCCTATAAATGTTTTGACTAAAACTGTTTTAAAGGCACAGACAACCATGATTTTCCCATTGACTCTATAGATCACTTTGCATGTTTTCAGCTCCCAGGGTCGTTGTTACCATCCTGCACTAACGTGCACAGCAAGGACCACCTGTGTTCTCCATCTCTTCCGGCAGTCCCTAACCTCAACGAAAGTCTGAGAGGCAGAGGGGGGATGGTGAGAAAAGGGTGCCTCCCCCACATCTCCACAATCATAAGGCCTTTAAAAAGGATCCTGAACTGTGTACACCGTGCTGCACAAAGTATCAAAATTAAATTTTTATGTATGTATGTATGTATGTATGTATGTATGTATGTTTTGTGGTACGCTGGCCTCTCACTGTTGTGGCCTCTCCCGTTGCGGAGCACAGACTCCGGACGTGCAGGCTCAGCGGCCATGGCTCACGGGCCCAGCCGCTCTGCGGCATGTGGGATCTTCCCGGACCAGGGCACGAACCCGTGTCCCCTGCATCGGCAGGCGGACTCTCAACCACTGTGCCACCAGGGAAGCCCCAAAATTAAATTTTAAGTGCCCTACTATCTATAACATTAAATGTAATAAGGACTCATAAGCATAAAACATAGAAAAGAATACATCTGCAGCCTAAATTAGCTTCACTCCCTCCCTACTGAAACTTTAGGGCATGTAAATCCAAAGATCACTCCCATTAAGCTTGCAGAAGGACATATAAAGCTGAAAGGTTACCTCCCTAACCATCCTCAGGCTGGGCTAACAAGACAATCAATGTGGGGACTTCCCTGGTGGCGCAGTGGTTAAGAATCCACCTGCCAATACAGGGGACACGGGTTTGATCCCTGGTCCGGGAAGATGCCACATGCCACAGGGCAACTAAGCCCATGCGCCACAACTACTGAGCCTGTGCTCTAGAGCCCGTGAGCCACAACTACTGAGCCTGTGCTCTAGAGCCCGTGAGCCACAACTACTGAGCTTGTGTGCCGCAACTACTGAAGCCCGCGTGCCTAGAGCCCGTGCTCCGCCAAAAGAGAAGCCACTGCAATGAGAAGCCCACAGGCTGCAATGAAGAGTAGCCCCCGCTCACCAAAACTAGAGAAAGCCCGTGCGCAGCAACGAAGATCCAACACATATATAAATAAATATAAATAAATTTATTAAAGAAAGAAAGAAAGAAAGAGAAAGGAAGGAAGGAAGGAAGGAAGGAAGGAAGAAAATAAATCAATGTGAATACTCTGAGGAGAAAGTCAAGGTAGCAGGAAGCACTTACATTTTAAACATTTTAAGATATACGTATATACTTAATATACTGATGTAAATTAGGAAGGTGCACAGCCATAGCATATAGATGTATAAATTCATATAATAACAAGTTTAAGTCATTGTTTCAACATTGGTATACTATTCATGTAATGAAAGGAGAAACGTAAAAGCCATCTATGTACTTACTTGTGTGTGTGGGGGTGGGATGAACTGGGAGATTGGGATTGATTCATATACACTAATATGTATAAAATAGATAACTAATGAGAACCTGCTGTATAGCACAGGGAGCTCCACTTCGATGTACAGAAGAAACTAACACAACGCTGTAAAACAACTATACCCCAATAAAAAATAAATGTAAAAGAATTGGAAAAAGAAGGGAAAAAACCAGCATATTAAAAGAAGCTAATAGACCAGGATGAGAGGATGCAGAAAGGATGAGGCGGCCAAGGATGACGGAAGGAACAGTGAGAGGGAACCCGTTCACAGCACCGGGAACGCCCCTCGCTGGTCCTATTCCTGCATCTTAGAGAAGAACAAGCTGTGACCCAGTGAAGCTGAGGGTCACCCATGATGACACAGCTAGTTAGCAAGGGGGCCAGACACAAGACCCTTTAGCTGCAGTCCCCTGACGTCACTGAAGAGAGTGGTACAAAAATTAACACATGAAGAGCCCACTTATCTCCCGTTCACTTACCTAGCTAAAAACTAGAGAGAGAACCGAGAAAGAATAAACAAGCAAACAATCCCCTCCTGAGAGCTCAACACAGCTGGCCCAGATACGAGATTCGGCCATCCATCTACTCAGGCAGGTCCTGCATGCAGGCCTGCAGGAGAGATCAGATCTTTACACCTCATTCCAGAGAACAGCCCAGCTTGGTCATCTGTCTGCCTGATCTAAGCAGGTGAGAAAACAGCACTGGGGAGGAACGAGGAAGCCTTCGCATATCCGGGAAAATTAGAAAAATCTCCTCCTGCCCTGACAACATCAGCTAAATGAAGCACTGACCCTTATTTAGTTTACAACCGATCTTTCTCTATTTTACATTAGGAACGGAATGTAGAGAGCAGTATTCATAGGAGTGCACAGTCCCAATGATGCCAAGTCTAAATGAAAACTGGTTACTTGTGAAGTTATAAACAAACCTAGTTAGTACAGAGAAAAACAATAAACAAATTCAATATTTAACAATAAAAGGATTACTTAAAATACATGCACAAGAAAAAATATGCAGCTCTCAAAAATATTTACGAAAGAATTTTTAATAAAAATGGGAAGCTATGTGTGTTATTTTATAGAACCAGGATAAATATTTTATATATACAATAGTATCCTGCTATTATAGTTTATAATTTTAAGAGAAATAAGACAGGAAGGAAATTCACTAAAATATTAATGATGCCTTTGGATAGAATTATATGGGTGACTTTCTTCTTTATATTCTTTTCTATTTTACAAACTTCCCATATTGAGCACATACTATCTTAAAAGCAGGGAAAATAGAAAACAAAATGCATTTTTAAAGTAAAAAGATACAAGTTACTGTCAAGAAAATGGAGAAACAACTTATCAATATTTTCTCTGCCTTATAAAATCTTACCTTAACCTTCTTTTTCCACGTCGATTTTTGCTTTTCCTCCTCTTCCTCAATTAATTTAAGTGCCAGCTCTTTGTTAACTTTTGGCAATTTCTAGTAGAGGTGAAAGAAAACACTGTACTGAGATACCGACAGTTTAGCTTTAAAGGTTAACGCGAAGAGCAGGCACAGAAGGGCTCCACGTCCTAGTCTGACCTGTGGCCAATATACACACGCACTGCTTTGAAAAACTTAACAAATAATCTGGAAAAAGGAAAAACCTGTCACTAGTCTTTTGCACTGAAAGTGTGTGCATGTGTTTTGAACAATGTCCAGTTAGAAAAGATTGTATCACTTGGTGGCTGACCTCAGTCGGGAAGGCAGAAGGAGATGGGGTTTGCGCTTCCCCTCTGCTTGCCGTTGGCGCGACGTCACCCATCAACGCTTCTTTGTCCTGGCAACAACAGGTGGCTCCAGCAGAGCAGGGAGTCCACTTTGTGGTTCTCCCACGCTCCCGGAACAGCTTCATCCTACCTCGGGAACCCCAGCGCCAGCTGTCAGCCCTCCACGGAGGTCTGAGTCCCAGCTCTCAGGCCTGCCTCTCTCCTGCCGCCCAGCCCTGGGGTGTTAGCTGCTCCCTGAAGCCACGGCCTCTCTGATCAATACCTCAGTATTTTTGCCTTTTCAGTTCTCTAATACCTGGGTAACAATTCTTTACATTAAATTCCCTCTGTTAATAGAATTAGTGTGGCCTGATTCCTGTCTGGGCCCTGGCATAGTCTAATGACCATTTCCCATGACCCAAGCAGCTAGCCTAAGACACTCCCAAATGTCAGAAAGAAATGGGGATTAGCAAAGCACCAACACTCCAAAATCTAAATCCCTATTTGAAAATAGCATCATGTTTTCCTGGTAGGACTGACACGCTCAGCTCACCTGGCATTATTTTCCCACAATACCATTACCATAGAGTCTATAAGGATAAAACTGTAAAGAGCATCCACCCTCACAACAAATAAAATATACCAAAAATATTAGTAAAAGATGTAAACTAAGGATGGAAAAACTAAGAAATGGATGGCGGGTTTCTTTGAATAATAAATAAAATACAAATGAAGTACTTTTCTGTGGTAGATTCGACGCTGACTCTACAATATTTACCTTTAACTGGACTCTCTGTGCTCGTGTTTCTTCTATCTTCTGTCGGATCTTATCCTTCCTATATTCTTCAAAAGCAAATGGATTTACCATCAGTTTCACCTTTTCAAAGTGGGAAAAAATTAAAAATAAGAGAATTGTATTTAGCAGCATGTCTCATATACAGCATGACTATCATGCCAAAGAACAGACAGATCGCTTACAAATCTCAAGTATGTTTTATAAAAATGAAAGTAAGTAGAGAAGAAATGGCTACAGAGTGCTTTTAGTTATCACCTAAAATAACCGTAGTTTTGTACTTACCTTGTGGTAGAGTCTTATATCCATGAAAAATCCATGCATATATGCCCGGAGAAAAGGTGATCCAATGAGATGGGTGAGCCCTGGGCAAAGTTAATCAAAAGAGGGTAGATCTTTATGAAATCTTGATTAAAATTCAACGATCTTTCACGACAACCATTTGATTATAAGTTCGCTTCTGAGTAAAAATTTAAGGATCAGAATTACTGACCTTCTTCAATAATTGCAAAGAAAATTTTACTCTGCTTCAGCAATATCATCCTTACTTGTTTCTAATGCAGTACTAAGCACAAAAATGATGGCAGGTCTTTATGAACTATGACAGATACGTAGAGAAGTGTTCCCTATACAAGTGGTTCTCAGAATTTTGGATTCCATGAGCTAGTTTCACTTTAAAAATAATACTGAGGGCACTTCCCTGGCGGTCCGGTGGTTAAGACTCCATGCTTCCACTGCAGGGGCACAGGTTCGATCCCTGATCGGGGAACTAAGATTCCGCATGCCATGCAGTGCGGCCAAAAAAAAAGCCCAAACAAACAAAAAATGCTGAGATCAACACTAGGTTGTCAACTTTCAAACTGCCAAGTAAGAACAGTGCTGGGGTTGGGGGGAGACCACTGTTATGGCCCATAATTTCCAAAAACAAAGGACACTGTCACAACAATAATGTAGATACGGCATGTTTTTCCCCAAAAAGAACAGCTTCTGGCAAATTTATACCAACATATATATTATATACAGACATACTTCATCATGGGTGAATTAAAAGTTCAATGCCAATCAGTGTTTGGAAGCTTTAAACAATATCTCTCACAGGGTTTCCTAGATTTAGATTTCATTTACAATTAGTGGTGCTGGTGGTCACATAAGGATGCTCTGCCTCTGTCACAAAAATTATTTATTAATTGCAAATATTTACACAGAGGAAGGTTATGAGAATATTTATCTTCAGAATAAGACCACCTATGATATACTCACATAAAAGGCAGCTTTAGTTGGTATAATACTAAGTGACTATGTTTCCAAGAAAAACATTACCCTGATTTCCAAATTTTAGAAATAAACATCCCTCCAGACCTAAAAATCACTTACTAGGAAAATCACACAGATGTACAAAACAGTATACATTACAGAACAATATCAAAAGGCAAAATTAAATTTAGGATAATCTCATAAAGTAATAAGACTTGGTCAGAAAAATACTTTCCTAGAATTCATTAGGTTAATAAAACCACAGGGTTTGGATTTGCACAGGAGAAACTTAAAAGGTGGTGGGGGGTCGGGGGGAGGGAGGGCTGAACCTTAATGAAATGTCCAATGCATAACAATCTGCATTTAGGTACCTGCACATGTGTGTTCCTAATTTTTTTTGCTTCCTCTGTTAGGTACATAAAATTTATATTTATGGCCCAGCATCATTCCCATTCCAGGAGAAAGCTTTTCATATTAAAACAATTCTACACGGAGAATCTGGCAGGAGCAGCAGCTTTTCTCATCATCAGCTCCATAGAACACTAGTCCCAAGAGATCTTTGAGGAAGAAGAGGTTCTGTGATCAAGTTAAGTTTGGGAACTGGTTCATATTCTCCTCCCACTCCTGGAGATTTATAGTGTATGATGGCATTAAAGGCTCAAAGAAGTCCATAAGTATAGAAACTGATTTATCTTGGCTTAACCTAACATTTCTCACACTTATTTGCCACAAATCTCTTAAAATGATAGGTAACATTTATGTATTATGTTTCAAAACTGTGCTGAGTACTTTTCAAGCATTATCTGATTCATTCTCCAAGCAACCCTATGGGTAGGTACCATTACTATTGCCATTTTATAGATGAGGAAACCAAGGCACAGTGAGGTTAAGTAAACTGGCCAAGGCATAGAGCTATTAGTCATGGGACGTGAGCCCATGTCAGCCCATCTCTAATGCCCATGATATCAGCCACAATGCTACCCATCCAGCACTGCATACACAGTGGCCCATGAAACACAGTATATATAGGACCTGCTAAAGGCCATAATTGGGAAATGTCAGAACTTGCAAGTATTCAATGCTATAATCTTAAGAAATAAGGGAAGTTAGTTACATGGCCTTATTTTTACTTTAACATAAATTATTTAAAAAGGTTTTATATATGATCATAAAATCTGTTGAAAAATTATAACCAGTGGCTCATTTAATATTAAAAGATATTACTAATTTACATGAAGATGATTTCTAGTATAACTTATTTTGTTGAATATTATATCTATTTCCATAGTTTTAAAAATAGGCTGTATGAATGCATTTTAACAAAACGTATCTAAACCTTTATCACTGCCTTCCTCACCCAAAATAAACACAGTGAAGAGACTGAAAAAACACCCAAAATATACTAAACACAGTAGTTTTTAAAAATCCACAAAATAGCAATGACTTTTTAGTCTCCAATTTAAGAAGGTAGGTGAGTATGACACAAGCATACTGTAAAAATTACGCTGGAGATATTTAAGGAGGCACTTCAGTAGGAAGACTTAGTTCACCCTATTTCATCCATAAGTCATATTTTTAAAAGGCTAAATACAACTCTTTTCTTTTTAAACACATTAAAATTTAAAGAATTATTTTGGTGATAGCTGGTAGAAAATAATTCTGCCTGGATTAACTGTGCTAAAAGATATAGTTTAAAAATAGAATTTAAGACTCTCTCTTCTAATCTATTTGTTATATGATTCTATTTTCTTTTAGCATTTAACTGCTATAGTACCTCTATTTGTTCTAAAGACAACTAAGCTGCCTAGGCTTGTGGAGAATGGATCCTCTAAGTTTTCCCATTCTCAGTAATTTGCTATGTAGCCTTTTCCCAACAATAGAACAAGATTAGCAAAACCTAGTCTTGTTATCCTACAAACCAGTACTAGTCAACTAAGATAAATATGTTCTTCAGAGGGGTCAGTATGGCTGAGGTTAAGAGTATGGACTCTAAGTTTAAACTCTAACCCTCACATTTACCAACCACTGAAGCCTCTGGCAAGTTGCTTTAATCTTTCTGGGGAAAAAAAAAATCTTTCTGTGCCTCAGTTTCTTTACCTATAAAATGAAATCATAATAGTATCCACTCCATAGCTGTGAGGATTAAATGAGTTGTATATAAAACATTCAGAATACCGCCTGGCACACGTAAGCCCTATTTTAAATGTTGGCCATTATTAAGAAGCATTTCTTGGTTTGTATTCTTTAAACCTGAGTAACTGTTAAGGTTCTACATATTTTTTTTTTTTTTTGCGGTACGCGGGCCTCTCACTGTTGTGGCCTCTCCTGTTGCGGAGCACAGACTCCAGACACGCAGGCTCAGCGGCCATGGCTCACGGGCCCAGCCGCTCCGCGGCATGTGGGATCTTCCCAGACCGGGGCACGAACCCGTGTCCCCTGCATCGGCAGGCGGACTCTCAAACACTGCGCCACCAGGGAAGCCCAAGGTTCTACATATTTGAGGATTCAATCTATGGGTTCAAAGTTTTGGATTAAGTCTTTTAATAAGCAAACCTACAGGGGGACAAAAATCATTTCTGTGCAGTCTCTGAGATTTCTCAAAATCTTATTATATTCAAATAGCACTTGAAAGTCACTGTTCCCTTGACTGATACTTTTCCTATACATAGGTGGCAGGTTAAAAAAATTATTCCTCATTTAAGATACAAAAAAGCCTCATCGGGCTTCCCTGGTGGCGCAGTGGTTGAGAATCTGCCTGCCAATGCAGGGGACATGGGTTCGAGCCCTCGTCTGGGAAGATCCCACATGCCGCGGAGCAACTAGCCCCATGAGCCACAATTACTGAGCCTGCGCGTCTGGAGCCTGTGCTCCTCAACAAGAGAGGCCGTGATAGTGAGAGGTCGGCACACCGCGATGAAGAGTGGCCCCCGCTTGCCGCAACTAGAGAAAGCCCTCGCACAGAAACAAAGAGCCAACACAGCCATAAATAAATAAATAAATAAATAAAATTCAAAAATAAAAAAGGCAAAATTCCTTTAAAAAAAAAAAAAGCCTCATCTCAGTAGGTTGAATTTATCTGAATCTTTTTCTAGGCAGAGATTATATATACTAAGTTTAACGTCTGATTTGTCAGAAAGAGATTTGGAAAATCAGATAAATGTGACTCCATCACTTCTAATGTTCAAAACTCAAAACAAAAACAAGTAGAAATAATCTTATAAACATTTCATCACAATTTTTTTTACCTAAATTTTCAAGGTCTTTCTTGGTGACAAATTTGTAATCATCATAAACTGTGCTTTCTGGATTCTCTTCCAATTCTTCTGTCAAGTTGTCTAAGAAGGAACACCACCTGGGAGCAGGACCCAAAACCTGCCGGCGTTGATTAGAAGGTTAGCAAATGTACATTCTAATCATGTCAACTAAGAGTTATTTTACAACCAGATTTCATGTTATATTTATATAATTTTAAAATCCTTGATTCTATCAGAAGTACTGAGAAACAACTGCAATATGCATAATCAAGTCTATAATGGAAGAGAAAAAAACAGAGTAGGGAGAACTTAGGCCTATAAGGGAAAAATCTCAGTCTGGGACACAATAATATTAATGAATATTCTTACATGAGAACTATGAAAATATAAATAATAATTCAGGTAGTAATAGTAACATCCATCTATAATTCTATTATCTCTTTCATTCAAAACAGTACTAGAATCTACAAAAGCATACTTGGCATACTAGACCTTTTGTTTGCCACTCATGACAAAAGTCCAAAATGAGAATTACCCTTTTTAAGCGTTTTCAACTAATTACTTGATAATTACATTCTATCTTGTATGGTCCACTTCATTTAACTGATTAAAAATTAAAATTATGTATACAGAATTCTTTAGATGTAACCTAAAATGGGCTGCCAGGATCCACAATCAGTCCCAATAAAAGGCTGAGGAACGAAGGATTGAACAGAATTTATAACCAAGTAATAAAATATGAATACTTCAATTTGTAACCCAATCACTTCCATAAAATACCATGACTGCTTCTTACTCTTTTGCCCTTGGTACAAATCTTTCCCAGCAGACGCCTCACGCATTGAGGTCAACACTTATCCCAAAGGAAATAACACTCAGCGGGAGAGCCAAGCTACTGAAACCCTCTCTCGTGGTGGAGGCTTTCAGAAGAGAGAACTCTGGGCTCTTACAAAATGGAACTTCCAATGACTTCTTGCCTGTGTATTTTGACAGTAATCAGTCATACAAAGGGGGGAAAAAAAAAACTCATAATGGAAATTATTAAATCTAGCTTAAACTTTTTGGAAAAGGGAAGGTAGGAGGAAGAGAGTTATAACAAAGGAAGACAGCCCCCAAAACCCTCTTCAACCATTAAAAAAAAAAAAAAAAAAAAAGTAAATGTAAGATACAGCCATACTAATTAATTATATTATTTTGCCTGATTAGAGAGGGTGATCCCACCACTCCTGCCAAAGGCTATGGGGCTCATGAACATGAAAAACAACTCTTAATGAGCATTAAAAAGTCCCATGGAGAATTTTCTTACTTGCATAATCTGTACAATTTTTAAAACAGAGGTAAAGGTCTTGATACGCTAAGTGGTTTGACTAACCGTAAAAGACAAACCTTCAAGAAATGAAAGGTATTTTTTAAAAAATTCAATGTAGACCACTTTAAAGAAACTGCTGTGATTTTAAGCAATTTTAGGACAGTAGGTTGAAGTTGACAAATATAGATATTAATTGCTACTAGACATAAAGCACGGTGCTAAACCAAGGTCTCCGACTATCCTCTTATTCCCCAAGGAGTTAGCAACCTAACTGCAGCAGATGGTTTGTGCATGCACACACACGTGCACATGAGCACACACTCAGCCGTTTAAAGCAATGAACTGAGATTGTGCTGAATCCACGTGGAAGATGGGCGAGGACTAGATGAAACGGGCCGGGTTGGGACACTCAGTAAGTATATTTGAAAGGACTTCCCTTTAGAATGAACACGTGAGCAAGCTAGGAAAACCACGGGGGGCACCTTCTCAGAGTGAGAGCTTAGGCACTTGCAACTACAGGGTATCTGCTTCCCATCAGTCACAAATACGCAAAAGCAAAGCTCGACAATGTACTGGTGTATGACGTAGGACAGCAATCGTCTCCTCTTTCAGAGAGGAATAAAGTACACTCACTCTTAGCACTTTTTTAGAATATAAGATCCTCAAGAAATTGTTCTCATGGGAGGGTTTAAACTTCATCTGTTTTAAGTGCTTAATTTCCAGTACCTAGAACATTGCCTGCCAAGTAGTAGGTGTTCAATAAGTGTTTCATAAATAAATCTAGTCACACATAAAACATGTATGAATGCATTCATGAATTCCACTGCACAAGGCATGAAGACTTAAAGGGTCTAGTTTGGCAAAAGTATTTTTTAAATTGTCTAGTTGTCCTTACTCAGATAAAAACATTCAAATACCTCACCATAAAATTACTGGATATAAGAACACTATTTAGTGAAAGTCAGATTTATTTTGCCTCCTATGCAAGGGGGCACTGGTACCAAGGGACCTCATAATAAAGTAGTTTCACCTTTAAACCTTAAATCAGTCATAAACATGGGCTTCAAAGACAATGAAAAGATTACACTGTGTTTACTGACTTTTCTTGGGGGGTGAGGGGTAGGAATATTAAAATATCAGACAAGATCTGAACTTACTTTCACACGGCCCTTTTTTATAATGTTCCACAACACTCTTTTTGATAGTTACCTGGATTCTAATGAAACTGTTTCAAATTGCCTCTCCAGGGACAGCTCTGGTTATGGAAAATAATCTCTGCAATCAAATTCACGGCCATTAAATTTTACAGGAGGAAATATTTCCATCAAAAACAAAACTAAGTCTAATGGGTTGATTATTAATCATGTTTCCCTACTTCCTACTCAGAGAAAAAAATCAGACTAACCATAACAAAGTTAAAATTACTGATTTAACTGGTATTCACTGAAGGTTTTATCCACATTAGAGCTTTCCTCAAAGGTCTACCACTAAGTTGCAAAAACAGTGGTTGGCTTAACTAATAAGGAGGGTTTAACCACGTGCACAGCTCTGATGTACCTATAATGATCACAATATTAATTCATGTGTAAAAATTCCTCGCTGCCTTTATTCATAAAATATGTTAATCCTTCAACTAATGTGTAAAAATATATTAATTTATTCTTAAATTTCAGGCTTTACAACTTGAAGAAAACATCCTTTTTAACAACTGCTGTGCTATTACTGCTGCGTCACAAGCTTCCAGGTCTCTGTAGTGTCATTGTATTGCTATATTCTATACTGCAGTCAAAACTGATTATTGCTTGATTATCTACATTTTTATGCAGCAGAAGAGTTCTGTTTCAGAAACTTGGTGAAGACTGTTCTATTTTAAACTTCAGTTATCTGTTAATGACTTTCCACTTTTTATTTATAAGAATTTCCTAAAGTCACAGGTCAGTACAAGTAGAGAATTGGAAACGGACTCATCAAACTGCTATAAAGGGATACTGTGGGTCCCTCAGAAACTTTAATGACAATCATATCAATTTAAACAGAAATACTTGGTCCTCCAAAATAGGAAAGAATCTTCATCAGTGTGCTTTGGGAAGGCCTTGACTGAAATGCAGCCGAGTATCTACTTGCTCTAATCCGTTTGGGCAAAAGAACCAATTTTAAGGTACATGAAAATACATGCCATGTGCCCAAGCTCATCTGCCTGTATGATTACAATCTACCTTTAAGATGTTAATTACATATGCTTAATTTAAAACCTCAAAATTCTCATATATTCTGGTAATGGACAAAAATGACTAAGAGTGAGGAAGACAGACAATGAATATTAAGATTCTTAGGGAGCTGACAGAAGAGGGTACCTCTTCCCCCATTCTTTTGAAAAACCACTGTGCCACATCCTAAAGCTGGGTTAAGGCAGAAATAAGGATTGAGGATTACTGGATGGATGGTTTTAACAGATCAAGGGTGATTAAAATAACAACAAAGTATTATTAATATCATTAGAGACAAAGAACCAAACTGTACTAATTCAATATAGATGCCATAATTTTTCCCATTTACTTATAATGCTACTTAGTATTTCCTATTTATATGAAAATCACTGATAATATAGCACAGCAATTAAATATGAAATTATTACTTTGACTTTTAAAAACATATTTATTTTTTGGCTGCGTTGGGTCTTCGTTGCTGTTCACAGGCTTTCTCTATTTGTGACGCGCGGGGGCTGCTCTTCGTTGCGGTGCGCGGGCTTCTCATTGTGGTGGCTTCCCTCTTGTTGCGGAGCACGGGCTCTAGGTGCACGGGCTTCAGTAGTTGTGGCACATGGGCTCAGTAGTCGTGGCTCGTGGGCACTACAGCGCAGGCTCAGTAGTTGCGTCACACGGGCTTAGTTGCCCCGTGGCACATGGGATCTTCCCGGACCAGGGATCGAACCCATGTCCCCTGCACTGGCAGGCAGATTCTCAACCACCGCACCACCAGGGATGTCCCTTCACTTTTAAACTAATGATTTAAAAACAATTTTAAAAACGTTAGTAACTAAGAAAATTCTGAATTACTCCATTTGGTAGTACCATATCAACACACAATAAATAACTTCTTTTTTCTTTTTTCACAATAACTTTGAACAAAAATGGGAAACTTTAACTGTATGTAATATATCCAAGTGTTCTAACATGTATCGGTTAAAGTTTCCCCATTAGAATTTTAACCCACATCTAATCTGAAATCTGTTACTCTCACTATAAGGCCATAACTCTTTATCAGAAATTACCGGGGCCAGGGACTTCCCTGGTTGTCCAGTGGTTAAGAATCCACCTTCCAGTGCAGGGGATGCGGGTTTGATCCCTGATCGGGGAACTAAGATCCCGCATGCCATGGGGCAACTAAGCCTAAGCACCGCAACTACTGAGCCCACACGCGCTGGAACCCGGCGCTCCACAACTAGAGAGAAGCCCGTGTGCCGCAACGACCGCACGCCGCAATGAAGATCCCGCGGTGCCGCAACTAAGACCCAACACAGCCAAATAAATATTAAAAAAAGAAGAAGAAACTACTGGGGCCAAAAAGCATTTGAAACCTTAGAATCGTCTGCATTTTCAAAAGGTAACAGTATGTATACTGCTTTTATGTAAAATCTTCAGTAGGGTCTGGGTCAGTGATCCATAATCAAACACATTAACAGTTCTCTGTGGCAAAATCTACACATCTTCATACCGGTGATCTGGATAAAGAGACTAGAAAGAGCCTCATCATTACATGTCAGATTTGAGTCCTAATGAAGCGATTCAGGTTTTGCCACTGACCAGTTA